TGTAATATCTATAGTGTGAACACTTTGTTGTACATGCGTTTAACTTGTTCCGAATATATATATATCATTTGAAAACAAGTATAAAGTGTGTGCTGTTTATTCATAGTTGAATTTATCGTTAATAAGCCACAGACACCTACTGTAGAGAATCCTAAGCCCAAAAACAACATAGTATATATATTTATACTATAAAGAAATATAAGTAAAAGCCTTTTATTTTGACAACTGGCAAAGAATTATATTTTAAAATTCTGACAGTCATCATTACATGAAGATTATAAGACAATATTTACACCCACTTCAATTATTTAGCATCATTGCTTGAAGGCTGTAAGACAATTTCTACAATGACTCTAATGATTCAGCATCAAAAGGTTGTAAAAACCTAGCTTATATTGAATCAACATCACTGCATGAAGGTTGTAAGACATCCCTTTTATTGATTTCAGTGCTTCATCATCATTGGACAAAAGTTACAAAGTATTGTTGGCAGTGACTCTAGTAGTTCTTCATCATTATGAAAAATGTAAGACACTACTTACATATTGGCTCTAGTATTACATCAATTTATTAAGATTTCAATGTTCTGCATGTAATAACTTTAGTAATTTTGTGCTGTAATGCTTTCATCTTGTAACCAGCGTTGAGATCATTTTCCTAATTTTATCATCCAGTCACCAAAGAATGCAGATTTTTACGAATGAAAATAATATCGTATTATAGTGGTGTCAAACGTCTAAGATGACGACGTAGAGAGTTTTTAAGACGTTATGTATAGGGGTAGAGTCAAAGTACTTGTGTAAAGACCATTCACAGAGTTGTTTAATTGAACAACTTTATTATCAACCAGCTGGAGTACTCGTCCCCTGGACGGAAGTTATGTAAATTCAAGATTAATGAAATGTTATCTTAAGACATGAAAAGTTCCTTCCCTTATATGTAATTGTAAAAAAAAAACGTAAAAACGCCCATAAAACCCCGCAAAACACAAAATGTGAAACCGCAAGTTTGCACGTATATCCGCATGAATCCAGTAAACTTTCATACAAAATTTGGTGAAGATCCATTCACAGGAGGTGAGATAGTAGTACAAATTGCAAAAACGCCCATAAAAACCATAAAATGGCAGATGTAAAACTGAAACTGTGTATTTGTGTCCTCCATAGACCCAATGGAGCTCCATATCAAATTTGGTGAAGATCCATCCAAACTCTGCGAAGTAGTTACATGGGCATACAACAGACAGTACTATTATATCTATATAGATGCACGTCAGTAAACTTGGTATCAAAATGTAGTTTATAATTCAACTATCGATATTATACGAGTTCAAATTTCTTAATTTCCAAAGGACATATTTAAATAAATTCTCAATCTTCACTTCTCTGTATCACGTGACACTTATTCTCACCAAATTGGCCATTTAGAACTTTCTATTTTACCCCTTTATGAAATTCTAAGTTTATAGCCTCTAAGCTTCTTGCTTTACTGAGATATAAATAATAAAATAAACTCCATATACTACGCTCCTCCTCGCATATCCTGCTTTTAAAAAATGTCATTAATTCTCTCTGACATTTGCCATTAGACTATTTCTAACCAACAGAAAGGGAAGATTCCAATTTGCTGACTTCTGCGAGGTTCAAATCGTTCAGATGACAGGTTTTTGATAAATTGTTTCAGTTTTATTGTCTGCCGTCGCTGGTGCTCAAGTCGACCAGCTATCGAAATTATTTTAACCCATTTATAGCTCAATTAGAAACCCAGTTAAGTTATAGTACTTTTAGAATATCCAATTATTTGTGTGTGGCAATATTTTGTATTATAAATTAAATAGTTGAATTAAAAAAAAATCATCTGTGAAATAACACTATCGTTACAAAAAAAGTAGGCCTTGTGCGTGTCGAGATATTCTTTTGCGAGTACAAAAGCTTGAAAAAAGTGAAGATTCAAGACTTAAGTACCAAATTTTTTGTTTTTGGCATATGTTTTATTTATTGTTATAAGGTTAACCAAAATATAAAAATTACAAACTTATTAGAGAACAAAACGTGATACACACACGTGATCGTGTTTTGTCTTCTTCACCTCTTTTCACAGCCTGGAAAGCTAAATGTAAGGATTAATAGTTATTCAATAAACATCACATACTTCCACAAGGAAATATTCTGATACCAAATACAGTGGAATTACAATGTCAGAACAAGGTATAAACTACATATTAAATCTATATGTAGTACCAAGCATACATATAGCATGCTGTGTAAAATCAAGTTAGTGAAGTAATGAAGCTCTCAATGTGAAACTGTGTACGGGCGTGGTCATTTTGACCAACTTTGTAATCACCACGTAACCATGAAACTAAACAAATTATAACTGTGAAGCTACTAAGTATATATTTACGAAATTTAGCAAACATTATAAATTTGATGTACACAAAAAAGCAGATTTTTTAATGAAGCTTTGTTGCTAAAGATTTGTTTCTAAATTTACGAAGCCTTTACTGAGTCAGTCTGATTTTCATATTAAGAATATGCTCCCTCCAATGGCTCAGGTTAGGTAGATTTAGCAATACGATGCGAGTAGAGAGTGATATATTAACTCGCGTGTATCAGCTAATCGTTATTGTAGTCTCTTATCTCACTTGGAATCATATCCACGAACGGCCATGACCTACTGATGTAGATTGTTAAAGGTGTCGTATTAATTGCACCAGCGTCATTAGACCAACCACATAAAACAATAACATGTTCTTGGGTGAGATGGCCTGATAAACGCGTTACGTTAATAGTAACACAGACAGTAGATCAACTTAAAAATATAATAGGATGTCTTTAATAGCACTTTAGCTTATTGAAGTAATTCACACAAGTTTAATGAACATAAACGTTTTAGCATTATGTTTAACTGTAAAAAATAGATATGGCGCATATAAACTAGCTTAATGAGTTGAACTTTATCATAATGGGTGAGTCGCTGTACTCATACTTAATATAACTGTGTTTCGTCATCACTATTTAATTTAGTCAGAATTTGATAAGCGTTTTCTTTGAACAAAAAAGGAAAATACCATAATTACTTTTAGACTAGCAATTACTTACGTAATACAACCATATATAGATGCGTCCGCTGACTTTCTTGAATAACGTTCAACTGCAGAGTCTTTTCCAAGCTCCTCATAGCTTCGTTGACGTTTCCATCGTCGATATATGGCAAAACCAATTATGATCGCAATGACTGAAGCAAAACCTACTGCTCCCAATGTCAGTAAAAGAGGATGTCCTGGAAAATATGTTTAAACCACAAATAAACCAATTATGATCGCAATGACTGAAGCAAAACCTACTGCTCCCAATGTCAGTAAAAGAGGATGTCCTGGAAAATATGTTCAAACCACAAATAAACCAATTATGATCGCAATGACTGAAGTAAAACCTACAGCTCCCAATGTCAGTAAAAGAGGATGTCCTGGAAAATATGTTTAAACCACAAATAAACCAATTATGATCGCAATGACTGAAGCAAAACCTACTGCTCCCAATGTCAGTAAAAGAGGATGTCCTGGAAAATATGTTTAAACCACAAATAAACCCACAACGAAAGGAATTTAATGGTCTATAAAATATCTTTAGAATAACATTATGATTGCATTTCTAGTTAAGGTTTTTGTAAACTAAAACTTTTTCTACTGTAAATTAAAGATAGGTTACAATAACACAATAATACATCTCTCAGTAAGCCAAATAGTTTGTTTGTTTGTTTACAACAAAGCTACTAAGGCTATATTCCGCTGTCCTTAGTTTTGAACTGCCTACCAGAGGAGAGGGAATCGGCTGGCAGCACTCACCGCCAACTCTTGGGCTATTATTTACCAACGAATAGTAGGGTTGGCTGTCACCTTATAACGCACCCACGCCTGAACGGGAGAGCATGTTAGTTGCCCGGGTTCGATCCCGCGACCCTCAGATTTCGAATCAATTGCCCTAAACGCCAGGTCAAGCCAAATCAAAGAGACTAAGACTAACTCTGTTAGGTCTAATACGATCGAGAACAAATAAATTAGACCTAACTGTGCCATTCTGATATAGGTCTAAGACTGAAACCAGTATCGATATACCAATCAATATATTTCGAGAGTTCAAGAGTCACACAATAATACTTATTATTTTTCCGAGTTTATTTTAAAATGTCACAATGTTTAAAATAATAATGTATTCCACATTAAATTATAGGGACTAAAAGTGAGTCTCGAGTAGGGAATAATTTATTGTATGCTAAACCACATGGACTAAAAATGGGTTGCATAAAGGAATAATGTGTTCAACAGTAAACTCAGAGACTAAGGATGGGTTACAATAAAAAATATCGCATCAAACTAAGCCACCAAGACCAATAGAGCGTTGCCATAAGGGAACAATGGTTACTTAGTTGCCTACAGAAATTAGGGGTGGTTCACAATAAGGGAATAATTAATTTCATATAAAATATTAGAGACTAAACTTGGTGGGTATTCCACAGTAAACCACAGACAATAAGAGTGGGTCACGAATAAGAGACAAGACACACAGAAGTCAAAACGCTAAAAAAAGACACACAGAAGTCAATATAAGGTAATTAATAAAATAAGTATAGCAGAAGGTGGCTATTTGGAGCTTGCACGGAATAATTGGATCTATAAAACTAGCCTATTAAACCCCAGAAAGAAAGGAAAACTAGCCTATTAAACCCTAGAAAATAGGAAACATGGACAAAAGGAGAATGTAATATATCTTCGTTGCCTCTCTTTTATTAGCAATAATGAGTGCGTGTTGAAGTACTAGGTCTAATAATTCGATGTTACAAATTTCTAAACATGTAAGTGTTCAAACTGGTTGTGTATAACATAGATCTTAATAGAATAATATTCATATTACAGGAAGAGACAATGTGTAAGAAAAACGTTTCAGTGTTATGGTGTTAGCTTTTAGTACAATGAGTTTGTAATTTTGTACTAGATACTGTTATCGTGTTTGTAATACTGTGATATAGACAGTAAGAGACGATATGTAAGAAAAACGTTTCGGTGTTTTGGTGTCAGATTATGCTGTTATCGTGTTTGTAATATCGTACTATAGACAGTAAGAGACGACGTGTAAGAAAAACTTTTCATAGAAAACACAGAAAGTAAATTATGTAATCGACATTGTTTCTGAACTTATTTTTGTAAGAAAAGTTTAAGCCAGATGTTTTGGAGTATATTCCTTAATAGCCAGCTTACACGTGAACACTGTCATAAGATTAATTCCATCTCAGGATCTACGACACTCTCGTAGCTGATCGATGAAATTCCCAAAGGGCATACAATAACTTCTATGTATTTGATTGAATTTAATTATTGTGTTCGTAATAATCTCTTTCGTAACTGTCAGGGCAAAATAATGATCATTGAAAAAGCATTTGAAAAAAACATGTTTACTGTGGATAACACATCTTGAGCTATATAGGATGTGTTAATGAATAGCAGATGACTCACAAAATAAGTTAAAAAATGTGTGTCACTGGGTAACAAATACGTCACAATGAAGAAATAAAAACGTCTGTTACCTGGAACAAATACGTCACATTATAGTAATGAAAACGTGTGTTACTAGGTGAAAAATACGTCACAATGTAGTAATAAAAATGTGTGTCACTGGGTAACAAATATGTCACCATGTAAGAATGAAAACTTGTGTTACTGGGTAACAAATACGTCACAACGTAGTAATAAAAATGTGTGTCACTGGGTAACAATACGTCACAATGTAGAAATACAAATGTACGTAACTGGATGTTAGATGTGGAAAACAAATGTGTTGCAAGTTGAAAACGGATAAGAAATGTGTCACAAAGTGAAGATATAACCCTATTCTCATGTAAATCCATGTCATGAAATGTGTGTCACATAGTAAGTGGATAAATATGTACTTCTAGGTAAGAAGTGTGTCACAAAGAAAACATAAAAATATGTGTTACTGAACAATAAGCATGTCAAATAGTGGGCATAAGAATAGGTGTAACTAAATAAGAAATGTGTCACAAAGTTCATAAGGTTACGTGTTACTAAGTAACGAATGTGTCAAAAGGTGAATATAAGGATATATGATACTGGTTAACAAGTGTGTGAAAAAAAAATGAATATAAGGATATATGATACTGGTTAACAATTGTGTGAAAGAAAGTGAACTTCAGCAGAAATGTTACTGGAAAGTAGATGTGCCAAAATATGTGTTACTGAAGAATGGATGTTTAAATACGAATATGAAGATATCTTTCACTGGCTAACAGATGTGTTGTAAAGTAAACATAACGATAAGAAGTGTTTCATAAAGACGTACCGAATAGCGACTGGATCAGAAGGTTCAGACAGGCACAAATGTCTTTAGATAACAGAAGTACAACGACTACGTGTTACCAAATAACACATGTGTCACTAAATGAAAATACGGATGTGTGTTACTGAATAATAAATGTGTCACAAACTGAATATATACGCGAGTTTTATGAATAATACGATATGTGTCGCTGATTTAATACAGTCGACAAATGAGTTTATAAAAGTTTAATTCAAAAGTGATCTGATTGTAAAGGCACCTTTGAATTAATAAAACACTCTTGCAAAGTGATTAAATAGCATGTTGAATAATGATCATTCAATGAACCAATTAATGCATTTATATACTGTATTGTAAATAACATGTTGAATAATGATAATTTAATAAACCCATTAGTGCATTTATATACTGTATTGTAAATAGCATGTTGAATAATGATCATTTAATGAAGCTATTAGTGCATTTATATACTGTATTGTAAATAACATGTTGAATAATGATAATTTAATAAACCCATTAGTCCATTTATATACTATATTGTATATAGCATTTTGAATAATGATCATTTAATGAACCTATTAGTGCATTTATATGCTGTATTGTAAATAGCATGTTGAATAATGATCATTCAATGAACCTACTGTATTGTAAAATTAATAAGATCTTCCAATACCAAGTTTATTTCAACGTCGTACAACAGGCTGCCCCTGTAAAAGAGCTGTTGGAGCGGTATCTTACAGTTATGTTGTGAAACCCACCCTTGTATTATTAGAATCTACTCTGGTTATGTATATTCCTACATCTTATTTTTACAATTTTTAAATTTCAAAACTTAGATAAAACCATCACTTCACCCAAGTAAATAATCAAATTATATTGTTTGTACATAACAACTACCAAATCAAATGAGTTAGAGTTCAAACTTAAGCTTATTTTCACTTTTCAGATTGTTTATTTGTTTGTTTTTATGCGCAAAGCTGCAAAATGAACTTCTGTGCTCTGCCCACCACGGGTATGGAAACCTGGTGTCAAGCAGTATAAGTCCGCAGACATACCGCTGTACCACTGAGAGGGGGGGGGAACACTTTCTAGATAAAGTTCATGTAAAACATTTTTAGTCAATCATTTGAGGTTAATACAGATCAATAATTATGTACCAATAAGTCGAGGGCAACAAAAACAATAATTGTTTACCAACAAATCGAGGGCAACAAAAACAATAGCTGTTTATCAACAAATCGAGGGCAACAAAAATAATAACTGTTTATCAACAAATCGAGGGCAACAAAAACAATAGCTGTTTATCAACGAATCGAGAACCAATTG